ATCTTCTTAAATCTCTCCACGTTAAAATGAGTATTGGGTGGAGGGCATCTCCATTGGTGGAGCTGAACCAATGGAGGAGATTCTACATTCTTATGACGAGTACTAGGATTTACATACAGAGTGAGTGGGAGGTCTCTATCCCTATCTTAAAAGCTATTATGACTCAGAGGATAGAGACTTCCCATCCACTGTGTACAACAATCATTGTTCACTTCTCACAAAACATGAATTATTTTATCTTCCCTGGATGAATGATGATGGGTTGAGTCATCATCCCTCGATACAGTATTTGAACTCGGGACCTCCCGTCTGCACGGCGCAAGCTCTCAAACCACTGGGCCACGCGGCCGGATCGCCACACACCCCCCCCCCCCACCATGAATCCACCGTAAACCCAATGGACCGCGCCACTTCTCACCCACCGTCGCGTGCTCTGTCGCTCGCCCTCTCGTCGTCTCACTCGCGCGGCCGCTTGCAGGCACTCGGACTTCGACGAAGACGGGAAGTACGGCGCTATCCTGCCGCAGGTGGTCACGGCGGGGACGGTGACACGCCGGGCTGTGGAGCCCACGTGGCTCACCGCCAGCAATGCGCGGGTACGGATTGGGGACTCGCTAGCGGTCAAACGGCGACCCTGACTGACGGAGCTAGTGGATTGAAAAAGGACTAATTAATAATAAAATATAATAAAAATATAAATGATACACATATAATAAAGACTTTTACAGCATCTCGCAACCGGGTTGCACAACGCCGTCCCCCACCGCGATCATCTTCATTAGTAGCTCACAATCCACCTCCACCTCTTACGATCTTGTGTTAACCGCGGTCGCCCCCTGCCCCACAGTCGCTCGATCCGTCCGTCATTCCTTTGCTCGGGTAGTCGGTCGCTCGCCCGATCGGTTCATCTGTGTTGTCCGATCACCCTCGCGTCCACACGTGACAGGCGGACCGCGTGGGCAGCGAGCTCAAGGCCATGGTGCAGGCGCCGCCGGGGTACCACCTGGTGGGAGCCGACGTGGACTCGCAGGAGCTGTGGATCGCCTCCGTGCTGGGCGACGCGCAGATGGCCGGCATGCACGGTGGGGCTGGGGGCTTGCGCGCGTGAGCTGGTGGGCGGGCGTGTGGCGTGGCGGCGTCGCTCGGTAGCAGCAGCGGCATTTATTCAGCTTTACTTGCCACATCTTGGCATCTATAATGTAACAGATTGCTGATGAGATCTATATCTTTGAACTATCCATTGCTGAATGGTGGCCTCTCCAAGCCACGGCCATCACCCACATGCTATGCAGCAATCCTTCTAACTCCCGCACACAAACTGATCTCATCGCTCCATTTCTAGAGGACGCCCACCGTACAATAGTCACCCTATATACGTTTCTCTAGTTTTGTGCTATGATCCTCCTGGAGGTCATCTGCTCGAGCTGATTTGCACTGAAGGGGGTTATGTTTGCAGTATTTGCAATTCCTCACGTAACAGTTGCTTTTGTTATCTTTTTCTGCATATATATACCTACAAAATGGTCCGATAATATATGTATGTTGAACTTCTTTTGCACCGTACGTAGCCACCCGTGCTAATCGGAGATGCGGGGGAAGGATAAAAAAACTAAAGGTAAAAAGCATTTCGAAAGAAATTAGTTTTCAATCGAGATGAATTAAAATTGCATAGCTCCAGTGTCTTCCTAATATCAGAACGAAGAGCGTTCCAGACGGCCGCAGAAGCACATCAGGAAGCGCACGATGCGGTGACCGTCTTTGTTCAACGGCCAGCCAAAATCCGCCGCGTACTGCGAGAACGAAGTTGAGATGGGGGAGGGCGGGGGGAGGTGCGATCGTCGTCACGGCTTGTGCTCGCGACGCGGCGGCGCAGGGTGCACGGCCTTCGGCTGGATGACGCTGCAGGGCCGCAAGAGCGACGGCACGGACCTGCACAGCAAGACGGCGTCCACCGTGGGCATCAGCCGCGAGCACGCCAAGGTCTTCAACTACGGCCGCATCTACGGCGCCGGGCAGCCCTTCGCCGAGCGCCTCCTCATGCAGTTCAACCACCGCCTCTCGCCGCAGCAGGCGGCCGAGAAGGCGCGCGCCATGTACGCTGCCACCAAGGGCGTCCGCCGGTGAGTGTGGTGGGCGGGCAGTGGGTGAGCGATGGATGGGCGGTGCGTCAGCCATGGGCAGGCAGCAAGCAGTGAAGTCGCTACCACCTGTTGCCTGCCCAGTTTCGTGCCCGTGATAACAGCGTTTTGGAGCAAATGTTGGTAGATCGCACATATTTGTTAAATTCCCAAACGTTGTTGGGGTTGCTGGCTGGGTGGTGGTTATGGGAAGCCCATGCCTACAACACCTGGTATATCACACGCGGTTTTCCAATCAGGTACTCACCCAGATTGGTGGGAGGCAAACAGGTTGGACGATGAACAGCTCTCTCGACGGACAAACTAAATAGCCTCGTGATGGCCACTGGCTCACAATAGCCGAGAGATTATGGCATAATTTTAATTCACAAGCACTCCGGTGTTCGTGCGCGTCTTGTGATGACGTGACCACCACCACCACCACCACGTTCCGCGCGCAGGCACCGGCTGTCGGAGGAGGGCGAGTGGCTGGTGGAGACGCTGGGCGTGCCCGTGGAGGTGAGCGAGGACGGTTTCATCTCCAGTCAGGACCTGCGCAAGATTCAGAGGGAGGCCTCGCGAAGGTGCAGCTTCATTCCTCGCCCCTTGCCGATCACCGCCATCATTGTTATCATCATCCTAATTGTCATCATCGATGTCATTATCATCAATTTCCCCATCATCATCACCAGGTCATGTGTCAACTTTGCAGCAATTTTGGGATCTGGAAAAAGGCAAGGTTGGAAGGAAGCGATGGCTAGCAAGTCGTGGCTTTTGTGGCATTGGCCGTGATGACCTCTTGACTTGACCTTGCGATGCAGCAGCAATTGTTGTTACCCGCACTCAGGTCAAAGGGCTCCAAGTGGCGCATCACAGACGGACGCGCCTGGTCCGGCGGCACAGAGTCGGAGATGTTCAACAAACTTGAGAGCATCGCCATGTCGCCCGCGCCACGCACCCCCGTGCTGGGCGCCAGCATCAGCCGGGCACTGGAGCCCTCGGCCGTGCAGGACGAAGTGAGTCCCCGTGCGCCCTTTTGACATCCTCCGCTGAACCCATGAACAAGGCGGGAATGACCCAAGGACAGATGGTGGGTATCACAATACCAAGGGGTGTGCAGATAATGCTGCGGTATCTGGCAGGAGGAGGAAGCAATGATTTTGATATTGGAAAGCGTAAGCATTGATGAAATCAGGCGGTATTGGTATCGGCCACGATCTACCCACTGCTACGTGAAGCCAATGTGCCACAGCTTTGTCCATTGACGACTCGGTGCCTACTGCATACAGAGCTGTGCATCTGAACATTACCCATGCTAATTGGGAGCGGCAGTGTGGCGGCTTGCGCGCCGTGCCACGAACCCCGCAACTCTACTGCGATTCCCACTCACGGAAAACACCGGTGGCGAATATCTGAACTGGTCGCCCACCTCTTCGTATGCTGCACCGGACTTCATAGGTGCTCGCGAACAGCACTTGCCCTAACATTGTGTTGAGGCTACATGGGGGATCTTTGTCGTTGCAGTTCATCACGAGCAGGGTGAACTGGGTGGTGCAGAGCTCGGCAGTCGACTACTTGCACCTCATGCTCGTGTGCATGCGCTGGCTGCTGGAGGAGTACCGCATCGAGGGTCGCTTCTGCATCAGCATCCACGACGAGGTGCGGTACCTGGTGGCCAGCGAGGACCGCTACCGCGCCGCCCTCGCCATGCAGATCACCAACCTGCTCACCCGGTGAGGAGAGCAACGGGGGGAGGGGGGGAAGGGGACAAAAGGCGTGGTGGGGTCCGCGGGTGTCAGGGACGGGGCGCAGATGGCCGATGGACAAGATCGGTGGCGATGGAATGGCAACCGAAGAAAGGAACACGCCCAGGAGGATGTCAGATCATGTGCAGTAGTGAGAGGGATGGTGACAGATTGGGAAAGCTTTAATCCAGCGGTGGATTGATAATGGTTGGTGATTATTATGCACACACATGACCAGTGCTGTGGTTGTGTACAAAACATTGTGCAGTCCCTTATGTCGTGATGTCGCAAGCAAAAGCATCTTTTCACCGTAAATGAATGAACTTGGCTTCTTTGCACATGCCTGCATGTGTGCATGGGGAGTGGTGGCCTATTGGTTTGCCCACTGCGCTATGAACTCAGTGACCCGAATTCAAATCCCGCTCGGGGCCAACATCGGTGGTGAATATCTGAACCGGTCCTAGGTTTACTCAGCCTTAAATGAGTACCTGGTGCAGTGTGTAAACATCAGCAATGGGGAGATAAAAAGGGGCCAGGCTGTGTGTTGGCCACCCAACCACTTGGGTGCCGTGTCCTTCATGGGTGCTTGCTTACGGCATTTGTCCCAACACTGTGAAAAACTATACGGGGGATCTTGTGTCTTTTGCGTACGTGTATGTGACTTTGCGTGTGCTCATGCGTGCTTGGTCCGGGCAGCTGCATGTTCGCCTACAAGCTGGGCATGCAGGACCTTCCGCAGTCGGTGGCGTTCTTCAGCGCCGTGGACATCGACACGTGCCTGCGCAAGGAAGTGACCATGGACTGCGTGACGCCCTCCAACCCCACGGGCATGCAGCGCAGATACGGCATCCCTCCAGGTGCCCACGCCCCCCCTCCCCCCTCTTCACTACCACCACCACTTACACAATTGCTGTCAATAACACATACAACCCCTCCACCACTTGCCATCTCCATGCCACTTACAAAACATTCAACATTTCTACTACCATCACCTCCACTATTGCCACCCCCTCCCAAAACCTTAACTGCTATCACCACTTCCATGACAACCACAACCACCTCCATCACCAACACCATTTTCCCAAATTGAGCTGAATAAAGGTCAAAATGTAAAAAAAAGAGACACGAGAAATTGTAGTTGCATTTGGAATGTAATTTATTCGATTTTTATAACTTACATGCTGCCTGTTTTTACAATTGGATGTTGACTATACCTGTGGCACACAAGAACACATTTTTGCGAACTCCAGTTTCACATCATGTTTAACATTACATTTTAAAGCTATGTTTTTACCATGTGCTTTTTAGTGGGCATCACGACAATGGCTAAGTACAACCGTTGTGTTTGGCCCACGTACAGGTGAAGCTCTGGACATTTACGAGATCATACAGAAGACAAATGGTTCTCTCGCCAAGCCCAAAGCCAAAGAGGCCAAGGACAAGGAGCAGAAACTCAGACAAACCATCTGAGGCCAAAGCAGGAATGTGAGCATCGTAAATACAAGTAATTTATTGCCTCCAATGACTTTGCTTATACAGTGTTACCTCGTTATAACGAACCACTTGCAGAGTTCACTCTACAGCCTCAATGACAAATTGAACTGGGCCTTTGAAGAAACAAGTAACTACATTAACGCATCATATCCGCACAGTGTACATATATTTGCTATACAGTCAAGCGTACTGCAGTGTACATGTTTTCGCTATACAGTTAAGTGTACTGCACAGTATAGTGTACTGTGTAGTACAGTCTACTGTATAGTACACTGTAAAAAAACGATTGAATATTCGGCGGCGCGTCCGATTGTTATACGCGGGTCACAGACAACGTGATCACTGTACGGATCGGGTATAAATGAACACAGTAGGATGCGTTTCTGCAGCTAAGTTCATTATAAATGGGGGAGCGTTATACCCATTGGTTCGCTATCACAATGCAATACTGTATGTAAAAAAAACTAAATCACTGCAACTTATAAAGTGCTGGGAACAGACACAAACTTTAAGTCTTCCTCTTCTTGTTGGGAGGCTTTTGGGATTTTTCCTGCACTGAAATAGTTGTGCTCTGGAAAACAAAAAGATTTAAACAAAAATATATAAATCTATTTGTTCAGTCAACTGCGATACCGGGAGAACAGAAAAGAGCTACACATATTTGAGTGTTTTGTTGTATTTTGTTGTGTAAATATCAAACACGGTTTTTTCTAGCCCGTTAATAAACTTTCTTTGCAAATACACTCATAAATATCAATTGCCGTGACCAGACACTGTGGAGTAAATCGGTGTTTAGTGATGTGGCGGCGGTGACGGTGGGGCGCACGCACCTGTGTGCCGTCTCCGCTCTGCGTCGCGTCTTCATTGTCCGAATCCTGGTTCTCCAGCGCCTCCTTCAGCGTCGCCGCATTAATGCGGAAGTCGCGCGACGTGCTCGGCTTCATCCCCTCCATCAGGTTCACCTGCAGCAGAATGGAAATGACAAAGGTCCCCCCGTGTGTAGCCTTTAACAGACTGTTGAGGCAATTGCTGTTCGCGAGTAGCATCTATGAAGGCTGGCACAGCACACGATCGGGTAGGTGGGTGGCCAACACCATGCCCGGCCACCTTTGTCTCCCCAGTGCTGATGTTTTCACACTGCACCCGGTACTCATTTAAAGCCATGTCGACCCATAGAAAGCGGTTTAAATATTCGGCACTGTTATTGGTCGTGAGTGGGAATTGAACTCTGTTCATTGGGTTCGAAATACAGCGTGCAAGCCACTACACTGCCGCTCCCCATTAGAAACACACCCCCGGCATTGACAACCTTAATGCTTCCAGTTGCTTGCAATAAAGTGACCGGTTGGCTCAGATGCCAAGAGCACTGAGCTGTACCGCTGAGACCATGAGTTTGAAATTCAGGCAACCGCTTGTGATTAAACCAGGTTTCTCAAGTGTATTACATTTGGCTAAATTCCAGCTGAGAATTTAAATATCAGTTTCACTCTCATACGTTAAACATTTTTCTCGGTGCCAGGGCGGGTGGGAAGATGCTGCTCACAACTGGTTGGGACGGATCACTTTAAGGGCCCTTGGAGGCAATGGCGGAGCCAGTGGGGTGGGGGGTGGGGTGGCACGTGCCATCGCCGCACACGCATCAAATAAAAAGCAAGGGACAAGTCCTTACAACTCCTATCATTTTTCATTGCTGGAGGGGTTGCCCCCCCTACCTGAAAATCCTGGCTCCGCCATTGCTTGGAGGAAGTTACGTGAAGCCCACTTATGTGAAGCCCACTTCCGTGGGCTGTTCTCTTTTAATGGTTGCACCGCTTCACGAGAGATAAAATATTTTTTTTCGTCTCCGAGAGCACAATCGGGATAACACCGGGGGAAGACACAAAAATGTAAAGCAAATGAGGGAAGGCCGTGCCCACCTTGGATTTCTTTGAGAGCTGGATGAGGAAACACTCGTACTGCTCGATATAGAAGATTAGGTTTGGGATCGGCCGTGTTTCCCGCAGAACTTTAGCCTGAAACGGACAGTGGCAGTCATCGGGAGATGCAGTACCAGGAACAAAAATGGCCCCCATCTCGATCGGTCCACCCTGGGCGAACAGCTCTCTCACACCGACGTGGCAAGCGCCGCCTCTCCCATACTGGTCTGTGAGGCCACAAGCAGACTCCGCAGTACGACCGACGATCGTCTACGTCATGCTCCGACCCGGAGGGACGGGAGATGTTCTGAGTTGTGTCTGTGGGCCACAGCAGGGAAGACGGTGGGTGCTACCTTGGCGGCGCTGGCTAAGGCCGCTGCCCCGCGCTTGCTCTTCTTGTCCGAGCTGTGGTTGAGGCTATCACTCTGCACGCTCTGTGTGCGACAGGCAAAGAGCAAATGGTTAACCGTCATGCCACAACCGCACAACACCGCCTTCCCTGCTGCATCGGAAGAGAAGGCAATGATTCTGCCCTGCGTCAAGAGTAAAACGTGAGAAGCTGTGGATTCAATGAACCCACCTGAATGTAGGTGATCATTGCGTAGCACTGAGGAGTAAGATGGGATCCTGACAGTTTCACCTGCAGAGATTAATACAATATTAAATGTAATAAAATAAAAATAAATGTATATTCTCATATAATGCAGACTTTTAGGATGTATTAGAATAGCCAAACCAGAAAGAACTTGAACGGAACTCACCAACTTTTCAAACCTCCCTGGCAGGTCCCCTATATTCTGCGTATACACCTGTAAATACTAGAACCACACATAACACACACAAGAAAAACAGCGAGATAAGCAACACATTAATATTACCGAACGCTTCTATTTAAGAACACGAAATGGGCATGGGCAGGACACGTCACTTACAGTGAGGGAAAAAAGTATTTGATCCCCTGCTGATTTTGTACGTTTGCCCACTGACAAAGAAATGCTATAATTTTAATTTTAGGTTTATTTGAACAGTGAGATACAATAACAACAAAAAAATACAGAAGAACGCATGTCGAAAATGTTATAAATTGATTTGCATTTTAATGAGGGAAATAAGTATTTGACCCCCTCTCAATCAGAAAGATTTCTGGCTCCCAGGTGTCTTTTATACAGGTAACGAGCTGAGAATAGGAGCACACTCTTAAAGGGAGTGCTCCTAATCTCAGCTTGTTACCTGTATAAAAGACACCTGTCCACAGAAGCAATCAATCACATTCCAAACTCTCCACCATGGCCAAGACCAAAAAGCTCTCCAAGGATGTCAGGGACAAGATTGTAGACCTACACAAGGCTGGAATGGGCTACAAGACCATTGCCAAGCAGCTTGGTGAGAAGGTGACAACAGTTGGTGCGATTATTCGCAAATGGAAGAAACACAAAAGAACTGTCAATCTCCCTCGGCCTGGGGCTCCAAGATCTCACCTCGTGGAGTTGCAATGATCATGAGAACGGTGAGGAATCAGCCCAGAACTACACGGGAGGATCTTGTCAATGATCTCAAGGCAGCTGGGACCATAGTTACCAAGAAAACAATTGGTAACATACTACGCCGTTCAGGACTGAAATCCTGCAGCGCCCGCAAGGTCCCCCTGCTCAAGAAAGCACATATACATGCCCGTCTGAAGTTTGCCAATGAACATCTGAATGATTCAGAGGACAACTGGGTGAAAGTGTTGTGGTCAGATGAGACCAAAATGGAGTTCTTTGGCATCAACTCAACTCGCCGTGTTTGGAGGAGGAGGAATGCTGCCTATGACCTCAAGAACACCATCCCCACCGTCAAACATGGAGGTGGAAACATTATGCTTTGGGGGTGTTTTTTCTGCTAAGGGCACAGGACAGCTTCACCGCATCAAAGGGACGATGGACTGGGCCATGTACCGTCAAATCTTGGGTGAGAACCTCCTTTCCCTCAGCCAGGGCATTGAAAATGGGTCATGGATGGGTATTCCAGCATGACAATGACCCAAAACACACGGCCAAGGCAACAAAAGAGTGGCTCAAGAAAAAGCACATTAAGGTTCTGGAGTGGCCTAGCCAGTCTCCAGACCTTAATCCCATAGAAAATCTGTGGAGGGAGCTGAAGGTTCGAGTTGCCAAACGTCAGCCTCGAAACCTTAATGACTTGGAGAAGATCTGCAAAGAGGAGTGGGACAAAATCCCTCCTGAGATGTGTGCAAACCTGGTGGCCAACTACAAGAAACGTCTGACCTCTGTGATTGCCAACAAGGGTTTTGCCACCAAGTACTAAGTCATGTTTTGCAGAGGGGTCAAATACTTATTTCCCTCGTTAAAATGCAAATCAATTTATAACATTTTTGACATGCGTTTTTCTGGATTTTTTTGTTATTGTCTCTCACCGTTCAAATAAACTTACCATTAAAATTATAGCCTGATCATTTCTTTGTCAGTGGGCAAACGTACAAAATCAGCAGGGGATCAAATACTTTTTTCCCTCACTGTAGAAAGCATTTTGTCTCATGGTAGAGACTAACAATGGAATGGGAGACAAAAGAGGGAATTAACAGGATGTCTCCCCCATGCAGACGGCAGTGACAAAATTAAAAATGTGATGACTGCTGGGATCGGCAGGAGAGCGAGCTAGTTAGCGGGAGGGCGTACGTATTTGGTGATGGAAGCCAGCACACTGTACATCTTGGTGAGCAGCTTGAGCAGGTTGGTGGAGCAGCTGCCCGCAGGCAGCGCCGCCTGCACCAACTCGTGGCAGCAGGTGACCAGCGCTCCCAGCTGCACGGCGGCCGCCCTCTCCTGCGCCTGCCGGGGACCCAGATCCTGCGTGCCCTCCTCTGTGGTCCGGCATCACCCAGCATTGACATCGTTATCAGCATAAGTCCGTGGGGAAGATGATGGGGCGAGTGTGATGTTAGAGGATGCAGTGGAGAGATCATGGAAGTAAGGGACCCACCGGAGGTCACCGGCTTGGCATACGCCAGCTCCCCCCTGAGCCGGGCAATGAGCCATTCCACGTCCTCCAGCATGTGCTCTGCATGAGACAGCACCACCAGCTAGTGGGGGGGGGGGGGTAGGGGGGGAGAATCACAATGGGATGCTCTGCAGTATGAGTGGAGGTTACCGTTTGCAGGTCTCGGTACATATATAGCGAGCGAGCATTTAAGAAAAATATAAACTTTACGTAACTCACAGTTACTGAAGGAGCAGTCTTGGAATTCACGATGGCATAAATGGACTGGTTTTCCACCTGCACATCCTAGAACAAAAATGTGAATAAATTAATGTCAATTATGATAAATGCCCACCGTTTTTTTCAGCATCCTGAAATGCAGTTACATTTAATTGGACGCTATATAAATCTATATTTTGTTGCAAAGGTGGTAAATGTGCAGCACTAATTGCTTGCTCATGCCAATGCTGGTGGAAGGGCCTCTACTAAGAGGGACCTCTGAAGGGTAATTGGTCTTCTCTTCCAAGCTGGTCAGACATCTTGTAAGAGATTGCAGTATCCTCACGACCACACCACACGCCACCTGCAGATCGACTGTGCCGCACTCGGTTATTCTGCTGGCTGGACAGAGGTGAGAGGGCTTTTACGAAACTTGCCCATTGCTTTTCAACTGCAGTGCTGAAAGATTGAATTAAATGTAACCATTGACCTCTGGATGTGTGTCCAGTTTGCTACCCATTGCATCATGGTAGCTACTGGTATTGCAAATGTGACTTGTTTTAATGAGGCAGATACCTCATTAACCAGTGTAAAATGTGTGTAGCTGCGGCTACGAACTCTAAACCATAAACCGTATAACTGCACTGCCACAAATATATACATGAAGGCAGTGATGGTTAGTATCAGCAATTCACCAACTCCCAAACAAAGCAGGTGAATGGATAAATCTCTTACAACTGAATCTCGAATAATTGCTCTTCATAGGCCATACGAAAGAAGATTGCTTCCATGGGCTCTCAGGCGAGTCAAATAAAGTCACCAGACTCACCTCGTCTATGTCGCCCAGCTGGCTGTGAATGTCCTGCGCCAGATCCTTGAGCAGTGAGCGAGGCCCCTTGTGGGCCAAGTGCAGGCTGAAGAGCAGGTTCATCAGCATTTTGCACAGCAGCAGGTCCTCTGAGAGGCGAACGGCAGGCAAAAGGTTGGTAAGAACGTATTTTGTTTCCATATGGGTGGGAGTTGTAATTGCCTGGTGAGAGTGTCAACATGGCCGAGAGGTCATACCCACCAATTTTGCTCTCCTTGCAAATTTTGGTTGTCCAGTTCAAGCACTGTTCAAACTGCATGAAGATATGCATACGTGAAAGACAACGTTTTTGTAAATGCACACAACACAACCTCGTTTACTTATTTGACATTATTTGTTTTAGTACATGCTGAGTTAGGTCTCTGGTGTGTGTGAGAGCAACAGTTTGTGCGTGTATGTAGGTATGTTGAACTTCTTTTGCACCGTACGTAGCCAACCGTGCGAATCAGAGGTGCATGCATGTGTGTTTAATATTATAGGGAGTGTTGGCATAATGGATTATCGATCACTATGTTTCAAACCCGACCACCTGAGTTATATGTGATATCAGAATCTAACCTGGGCCTGATATAGGTCGACACAGCCTTAAATGAGTACGTACATGGTGCGATGTGGAAAAAAACAGCATTCAGGAGTGGCGCTCCAGCCACATAACTCCTGCCCGCACCGTTCATGGTCTGAACAGGTGCTCCTTAACAGTGCTTGGGCCAAGAGTCGAGTAAAAGTAATATGGGGAATCTTTACCTTTGTGTGTAAGATTGTGTTGTGTGCAGATCCCGAGCAGGTTCAGGAATTTAACCCGGTCCAACAGGCTCCACCGGCTCCACTCAGCTTGTGTGCGTGCGAGTGTGTGTAAGTCACCTCGGTAGAGCCTGGCTGCAGCTCCTTGCTTAGCGCCAGCAGAAGGCTCACTAGCCCATGGAGCTCCTTCATGTTCAGATCTTCCTCACCTCCCGACAGCTGCCCAACCACACTCCGCTGAACCGCCCAACAAATCCCCCGTCAGATAATCGTCGTGCGTGGAGTATCACTCGGACATCATTGTGTGTTGCGAGACTCCAACTACCGCTGGGATAGGTGGCAAGATGGCAGTATAGCAAGTAGGTTTATGAACCGTCTGCCTATGCTTTTCAACCTTATGTTAAGTATGTGCACGTGTTTCCAACCACACATAAAATTCCTTAAACCGGAAATGGGCAAACATCCCAATGCAATGCTCCTAAAATGATTCTTGGGACTTGGTTAGGCTTAATTGGCCAAAAATAAATGTAATTTATAATTTTAAGTTCTCCCCATATATTGTAAAAGTTAAAAGTAAAAGTTTTTGCGTGCGTCGCCAAAGAATCTGCTGTGGCCCAATATTTCCATCCAGACATCATTTACGCTCTACGCACAACTTGCCTGGAACTGCCTCATGTGAAACGCAGCTCTTTCCGCAATGATAACGTTGTCTGCATCCTCTGGATCTTCACGGGATAGATCTGTGGATAAAATTAATCGCCAATGAATTCAGGTAGGGGCAGTAGCAGTGGCATATAGCACTAACGAGTAGCCTCTGCTAGTCAAAGCCAGAGCCATTTCCTGATCAAATGAGCATTGAGGCAGTGCTCATCTGCTGTTTATAGCCCTGAGCCTGCAGTGCAATTCCACATGCCTATGGCGGGGGCGCGGTTTAGCATAGGAAACCACTGTCCCCACAAAGTAGTACTTATTTGATCAACACTGGAAAGGATGATGGGCTGAGTCAACCCCCAAACAGTACTTGAACTCGCAACCCTCTGATCGCGAGCCGCTCGTCTTATACCACCGCTCAGCCACCAGGTCGGACAGCCTCCCCTGTTGGCAGCATCAGCGTACATGTACAGGAGAGAGGCAGGAGAGAGACCGGACGCTCTCAAATCCCCTTACCGAGCGCGGCGTATAGGCTCTCCTTCTTGTGGGAGAAGCGTGTGTTCACGGCGGTGATGACGCGCTGCAGCACGTCCAGGCACAGCAGCGGAATCCCCTTGTGCTTGTCCTTCTTGGCCACGGACTCCACCACCCCCGACGATACCACCGACGAGTCATTCGTGGGCACCGCCACAGAGAAGCACTTCCGCAACAGCGCCCTGGCGGGTTGGAGTGGCGTGCCAAAACCGTGGGCAAGGAAGCACGGAGACCGGGTGGGAAAGCTTTGACCCTCCTCCCCAAAATTTCGGACAGTGAGTGCAATCTATATACTGCAGTCCCTCTAACACAAACTGTTTCAACTTCAAATACGACAACAGAGTAGTGGCTGTTTATGTTTTTACTGTAGTGGTTTCAGCTGAAGATAATCATTTTAGTTTTGAGGGTTATCATCAGCCTTGGTTAATCCACTGCTGGATGAAAGCCTTCCCAAGCTAGCATCATCTTTCACGTTTCTGAGATGCAACATTCCATCTAGCACCTGCACAGCAGCTGACTTCATTGCTCCATCTCATTCTTGGGGATGTTTTCTCCTTGTCCTTTGTCATTAGTCTTAACCACAGGTCGTCATGCCTGCGAGTAACGTGTTCAATCCTTAGTCGGTAAGGGCGTTTGTAAATCTTGTTAAATTGACTTTAGCGCCGAGAGCCTGCCTCTTTACACTGACGGCCTGAGACATCGATGTTGCAATGTCTCACCGGGCGATGGAGACCAGGTGACGCAGCACCTTGTCGGGGTCCTGTCCGTCGGGGCCGTCCACGTGGCCAATCTCCTCCGCCTGCTGCACCTTCTGCTGCACCACCGCCAGCACGTAGCGCTGGAACTCCACGCTGCCACGCAACGGCGCCAGCATTGCCTCGTGGTCGGAGCTCTCGTCGCTGGGAACAGGAAAAACGGCGGCGTTCAACTTCCTGTCTTGGAACGATACAATGTTGCCATTACAGGAGAGGGCCTCCCTCTCCAAGAATCCCACAGGATTCCTGGGAAAGAGGAGAACACAGCTGATGATGATGATAACAATGATGCACACCAGTAGAGCGCGGAGAGCAGGAGATCAATGCAGCGCAGCGATAGCAGGCTGCGTGGCGTCTTGCTCGTAGCGCCGCCCTTGCCCTTTGCACTCTTCTCGCGCAGAATTTCCACCAGCTTATGGTAGCGCTGAAACAACCCCAGCACCTGTTCCACCTTTTGGCGGCTGAACACACCGCCAATCGACACACACATACGTGCAAGTTTAATAAATAGGTTTTTTGTTGTTGTTGCACTTCAATTCAGTCCCAGATGACCGTGTAGGTGCTGCCCTGACCTGGGATCGCCCATGATGAAGCTGTACTCCATGAGCACCTCATACATGCCCATTACCAAGATGACATAGATGTTGTTCTTCACCCCTACGCTGGTCGTCAGCGAAAAATCTGCCGACTTGTCCTGTCAGTAGCACGCACACAGCAAGTACCAGTTTCGCCTTTGTTGGTGATTATCAGCATGGCATGGTGTCACTGCCAAGAACCTGAGACAGCTGCATGCTTATGCTGCAGCGTTTGTCAAATGGAGAGAAGACTGCAAAGAGCACTAACCACTGCACCACCAATCCACGTAGAGCATATGCAAAATGGTGCACATGTGAACGGGCGACTGACCAATTCAAAGTCGTCCAGGTCACTCTTGATCATCCTCCGTGTCATGGACTCCAGCATTGTCTCCAGCTGCCGTTGACAGCTCTGTGCGCCCTCCCCTGCGTATTCACTGCTGCCCTCACCGCCCCCATCGTCATCATCGTCCTCGTCATCCTCATCATCGCCAACTGTCTGAGCCTTGATTTCACGCCACTTCATCACACAGTGCACAGTGCAGCAGAGGAGGTGGCCCTGTGGACACACAGTGGACAAGGTGGACACATGCAGCCGTTTTGTCAATCCACTGCCAGATGAGGGCCTCCCCACGCTGTCTTAGTCACGAAGGTTACTCAACCATAGTTCACTACGCTGGTTAGTGAGAGTTGGTGATGAGGGACAAATGTTGGAGAATAGTACGGTTCAACAATGGATTCTTCTGCAGTGTCCTCTGCTGACAAGGGAGCCTTGCAGCAGCCAGCAACAGCTGTTTTATGCATGGATGCCACCCATCCAAGCACTTTCCAGGTTCAAACCTGCTTAGCTTCCTATGTCTGGTGAAATCAGCCACATTCCAGGTGATTTGGTGATAGGTGGTGACACAACTTGGCCAATATTGCAATAAGCTCCCTCTGATCCGCATACTGATAAATCTAAACATCTACATGCCCCTATAGGGAAGTCAACTTCTATCATCATCCATAACACAGGTTTTTTTGGGTTAGATCGTGTACATTTTCATACGGGAAAGTCTATGTGTTAGCTTACGTGTTAAACTTCTATCATCATAATTGTTTATTTATGGCTAGCAGATTCATGATTACAACTAATACGACCGTAAATTGCAACTGATAATTAGACAAAATTACTGACAATTAAAGGCAAGTTGTCAGTTTATAAAAGGCAATCGGTTTAACTCATCTGAGGCCAAAGTGGGGCATTAAACGAGTGGCACGGGACAGGTGGGCAGGAATTATGACGATGGAGGGGGGGTGGGGGGGCACAGGAATCTGGGGGGCAGTACCAGCGGCTCCTGGAGGAAGACCTGCTCGCCCTGTGCCGTGATGCAGCCATCCAGACGTACGGGCGGCAGGACGTCGCCTGCCTCGTAGCACCGCTTCAGCTGCGCCGACAGCAACGCACACGGTATACACGCACACGTGGGCATACGCATGACATTAAACCGGAGGCACAACGCACCAGGGAAAATCGGGTCACCTGATTGATGAATGTATACTGTGTCTATTGGACCATTTTTCCAGTATCAAGATTATGAAGAAAGAAAACGCAATAATACAGGATGTGTTAAGATGTTCAAACACCAAATAGACATCCTTTACAAGGCATCAAGTCTGCATTATCCAGATAATTGTAAACCAAATATGCTTGACGATGTACACATTGCCCTTGCAAGTTATTAGCATAAACCAGAGAGAGCCACTTAATGGCTGTCTCACCGGTGATCGGCCAAAGGATGCTAAAAGGTGAAGAGCAGAAGGACGATGCAAACATATACTCACTCACAAGCCTCTCATCATCTCTCTGCTACCATTACCATCACAGCCATTGCTCTCAGTAGCCAAGTGTTTTGATTCGTCATCTGATTTCTAATTCCCTGTCGCCATAATGGCCAACGACTCTCATCCATGCCGAGTCCAGAAAGGAACATTTCAATTTTTTCCACACAGCTCAGCCTTTGGAATCCTTTTCTCAATTTGCCGTTCCAATCTCATATAACCAGAGTCAATGCAAGAAGTTAATTACTTTACACCTACGATACTTAATATAGGCCTCTCTCTTGCTGTCAACTTGCGTAATAGGCATATACTCCCAATATATATGCACCTCGCTAACGTTTGCCAAGTTCAAGAATTTCATGAAAAACACTCAATTGCGACTATACATAACAATTATCACACCCAACTGGCATACGAATTGCCTGATTAAACAAAATAAACTTATTCATAATAAAGGTTTTTGGGTTAGATCGCGTTTATTTATAAATGTGTCGTAACCCTCCACCACCCGACACGGCCAATCAGCAAAAAAAGTGTCACGTTGACAAAAGACAAATAATTCACTACTTTAGCCCACCGGTGTGTTGAAGAGTGAATCCACATTTACAGTTTGAGTACGACGTTTCGCTGGTAAATACATCCAGCATCATCGGGCAATTCGCCAGAATGGTAAAGCCCTTGCTTGCTCCCGGTTTTATATAGAGCAGCAGGGTGACGTCATCACTTAACTCATATCAGGTGCAGTGATTAGAGTCGGAGGTGATGACGTCACCCTGCTGCTCTATATAAAACCGGGAGCAAGCGAGGGCTTTACCATTCTGGCGAATTGCCCGATGATGCTGGATGTATTTACCAGCGAAACGTCGTACTCAAACTGTAAATGTGGATTCACTCTTCAACACACCGGTGGGCTAAAGTAGTGAATTATTTGTCTTTTGTCAACGTGACACTTTTTTTGCTGATTGGCCGTGTCGGGTGGTGGAGGGTTACGACACATTTATAAATAAACGCGATCTAACCCAAAAACCTTTATTATGAATAATATTGGTCGCGAAAGCCTACGTGTTAAACCAAAATAAACTTAACTTGACTCACCTTCACAAACCCACTGTCCAGCATGGTCTACTATGGGAGTAATAAAGACTGATAGAAAAATCTAAATTCCCGGAGGCCATCAAATACCGACACCCCCACACACTCACCTGTACCAGCAACATCTGTAGGATGGTGCTCCCCAGCTTCGAGTTTCTCCGCAGCACATCATAGAGACCCTGCAAAAAAAAACCGCGTGGCTGAATGAACCTGAGCGAGCAGAACAATGATCACAATACTCCGGGTAGTGTGGCACACGGGCGCGCCCCAGTTCCTCTGAGCAGATTGCAATGAAACTCGGGGCCCAGTAACGCATCATTAAGTCTCGTGTTACTGATATCCCAACGGCAGTTCTTCTACCCTTAATGCATTGTGCCAACAACATTTTAAAACAATACAAATTAGTTTATGTAGTAATACATTTTTTTATTATGAACGGGTTTGGCTGTTACTCAATAACTACTCGTAGGCAACTATTTTTTCTAAATTGAATTCTAAATCTTGACAAAGCTTTCGTAACTGCAGGAATTCATATTCTTTGGGTCTTTCGGTAAAGCCAAATGGCTTTGTCAAGATTTAGACCCAAATAATATTAATTTAATACTCATAATAAAGGTTTTTAAGTTAGATCGTGTTATTTATAAATGTGTCGTAACCCTCCACCACCCGACACAGCCAAACAGTCAAAAATGTGTCGCGGTTACTAAAGACAAATAATTCACTATTTTAGCCCACCGGTGTGTTGAAGAGTGAATCAACATCATTTAAAATTTTGAGTACGACGTTTCGCTGGTAATTACATCCAGTATCATCGGGCAATTTGCCAATGAATAACAATTGAACGATTACCAATATATTATATAATTACAATACCCTCCCCGCCTCTCACTGCACCAGATTGAGTTAAAAGATGACATCATCGTGCTGCTCGATTTAAGACCGGAAGCAAGTGGAGGGCCTCACCATTCTGGCGAATTGCCCGATGATGCTGGATGTAATTACAAGGGAAACGTCGTACTCAAAATTTTAAATGACGTTGATTCACTCTTCAACACACGTGTGGGCTAAAGTAGTGAATTATTTGTCTTTTGTAAATGCGACATATTTTTAACTGTTTGGCCGTGTCGGGTGGTGGAGGGTTACGACACATTTATAAATAACGCGATCTAACCCAAAAACCTTTATTATGAATAATATTGGTCGCGAAAGCCTACGTGTTAAACCAATTGAATACTGTTGTGCACCCGCCAAAGTACTTGATGATACTGTTGCTGCCAACAGCAGCAGCATCACCAAGTACTTTGTTTAACAAGCAGGATGCCACAGGCAGAATGTTTGTTTAACAAGCAGGATGCCACATGCAGAATCAGCAGGGCGCTCGCACACACGCGTACTTCATAGAACAGCAGGCGCACATCGGCCTGCTGGATCAGGCAGCGGCGCAGGCTGCCCAGGATCTCCAGGCACAGGGCCTCGTTGGCGGCAGGGTTGAGGCGTGCGTGCACCTCCACTTTCACCTGCAGGGGCGCGAGCGGGCGCACGAGTGAGCACTGAAAAATGTTGCCGCTAAAGGCAAGACGTAACCCACAACAACAAGCAATCTTATCTTGCCACTGTGAAAGTTTGTGCGGTTCTAGTCAAGTTTATTTTGTTTAGAACGCGAGAGACCAGGATGAGTGTCATTTGCAAGTCACCAAAACGGAAAAAGCATGCAAAACAAATTAAGCACAGCAGGAACTAAATTGAGTGGCACACTTTAATCATAACCGAAGGAAGTGAGTTGCTTAATTCAGTTTGTGAAGAACCTTGCAGCATATGGAGAGAAAAGAAGGATATCACCTCAAACATGTAGAACAATCCAAAAAACACATTAGACAGCTCTTATTTTGTAGCTAAACATTTGAACTACCTGTCCCCGAATGTTTATAACGAACTTGAAGCTTCAATCATGAGATAAAATACATTAAAATTATATTGGAGTACATCATTACGCCACTAGAGACTGCTTAAAATGTCAATGCGGTTATGTTACTCCAGCGCATTATAATGGTGTGATTAAATGACAAAGAAATATCTTCATTAACGAATAAGCAAACCAAATATCCCGCGCACTACTCACCTGGCTAGCGGAAAAACCCTGACTGCTCAATGTTTGGCTTGATGCTAGGCTGCCCAGCACTTTGAAGTTCTTGAGCAGCAGGAGATATCCGATAACAGATGATTTTCTGGCTTCCAGCTGGCTAAAAATTCAAATGATTTAATTATGCCGGGCAAATAAAGAGATAAAAAGCCTTACCGAAAGTGGGTAAGAGCCTATCGAGGCAGCATGTATGCCACAAGAGAGACCAGGAGCAGAATATAAAAGTCTTAGTGGTGAAGTGAAAATACATTACCTGATATGAACAAATTACATGCCAATTTTGTGTCAGATAAAATCAAATCAGGGGAGAGTGCTGGGACAGTAATAAGCGAACGGCACTATAAACCCGATGATTTGAGTTAAATTCTAGGCCACGGCTAACATCAGTGGCGAGTGGTATCTGAACCGGTCCTAGACACCCTTTTTACCAACATGTACTGATGAGCCCCTTGACCGACAGGGAGTGGGGAGGCCTTCATCCAGGAGTGGATTGACAAGGGGCGCCAAATATTGTTCGATTTTTAACAAGATAATAGAGATCACAAACTTATGTTAACCCATCATCATTCATTAAACAAAGGATAATTTTAAATGTTTAAAACACCTTTATTATTATTTCACAACATTAGCATGAAATTATAAGAGCACGTGTGTGGTTACCTGGAGAACATACCCTTGCGCAGTGCGAGGATCAGCGAGTCCTTGAGGTTGATGCGCACCCTGAGAAGGGGCTACAGAGGGAATCAGCAGCAAAGAACGATGCAAACCGTTACAGCGCGTCTTAAAATAGTGTACAGGTCGATCCATTTATAGATACTCCACTACTATAAAATGGAGACGTTACAGAGACTATAACAGCTTAATTCAAAGCCTCTATGTGTGTCCCACCAATCTCAATAGACGTGTTACATCTCTGAAAACTTGCCTCTGTAAGATATGGGTCGTTTTTTTCGCCGCATTCAATCAGCCGTTGGTAAGAGAGCAAGTGGGTCATTAGAAATCAATGGGGTATCTATAAATGGATCACCCCATATATAGCTTACAAAAATTGTCACGATGATGAAAAGTCTGACTTCAGTGTGCAGATATATGGTTGTATTAAGTAATACACTTAAAACATATCGGTGGTATTGTAAACATTACTGTACATGAAAAATAAATTACTGTGGCCACATAAAGTTATTATTCTAAGTTGGTCAAAGATTTTGTAGCCAGATTTTTCGGTCGAAAATAATGTATTTGTTTGTGTGATTGTTTAAGTTCCAACATGATTATGGACTCTGCTGTAACAGCCAGTTGGCATAAAAGTATGAACAGTCTGGCCTCCACCATAATGTGGTAATTTCCACCCAAGTATCAACGCCATCAGTGAAGATAAGTGTGAAGTAATTTTTACCTATATTATGCAAAACAGCTTATCTGCAATGAGAACCGACGCGGTAAATAAAACACGAGGGACAAGACTGAAATGATTGACTGAGCACATAAAACGCCTCACGCCTTGCTGACTTAACCCATTTTGGGCAATGGAGACAATGGTGTTTTTCTGTTTTTGCCAAAAAATAGAAGAAAAAAGGCAAGATTCGCCACCACGTGAATCACGCCCACTGTGTAAAGCAAAGACGATGCATACGTAAGAGAGAGAGAAAGGCAGGTGAAGAGCACTCACCAGTATGGCCTGCAGCAGGCCCTTCGTGACGGGAGACGGCAGGACTGACAAATAATCAAACGCCTCCTGCACCTTGGGCAGACACTCCAGCAGGTTGAGCGGGGCCGACGTCACCATGTCTGACAGCAGCTCTGAGTCACGATCAGGGTGAAGGGTTAGGGTGAGGGTTAATGTTGGCAGGGACAAACACACAAGAGTCAGAGACATGGAAAGGTTAGAGGTTGAAGACTATGGTTATATTAGGGTCAGGGTGGGGGGGGTAAGGGTGAGGATTAAGGTCGTGGTTTGGTTCGGGGTGAGCAGTATAAAAACATTTATAGGATTAGAGGCACGCAGAGGTTTGAGGTTTAAGACTGAGGTAAATATAAAAGTTAGCTTTTCATTTGGGTTGGGTTCATGGTTCGGATTTGGTTATGGTTTCTGTTGTTGTGGCTAGGTTTAAGATTAAGGTATAAATTTGGGTTGGGGTTATATTTTGACTAGGTTTAATATTAGTAATACATGAGGGTCAGTATTTTGTTGTGGCTGGGTTTGAGGCTAGGGATTATTTTAGGATATGCAAAGGGGGTAGATGTGGAGGACTATGTTCTGTAAACATTAATTTATGTAAACAGTTGTAAAAAGTGCACAAGCCAGTTCCGTATAAAAGAACAAACGCAAAACACAAGTGCTTTATGTTTTACCTAAATAGTGTGTGATTGGCACGGTGGCTTTAGTAACGACTCTGTTGAGAAGCTGCTCCAGGATCTCACGTCTCACGAGGTCATGAGCCTAAGACAAACACAGAAGTCAACAATCACTACCGTATCATGTGGTGTTATTTCACATCACTGGTTGCCATTCAACATGACATAGCTAGAATCTGTAATTACATTAAATGTTAACTCTACATGAAGTTGAACCATAAAATCTGTGTAAGATAGAACCTAGATCGCTAAATAGATTAAAAATAACCCTATTTCAACTGGCTGCACAACAAATGGGAGAATATGAGTAATATGAATGTATAGACTGGCCAGGTTTTATGAACTGAAAGAGGATTTTTACGTGAATTATAATTTGATGATGATAAAGATGAAAGAAAACTATAATATAGTATAGGTGAGAATGAAGAAAAGAAGGAAAAGACAAGTCATTGGTGGGAACAAAGAAAATATATCTGTACCATTAATCACATGCAAATATTACAGCAACAGTTACAAAGCATCTAAAAAGCATCAGTAACAAGAACAGAAGGATCTGCATCAGTAACAACTATATTACCAGCACTAACAATGGTAAAAGCAGCAACAGTAGCTAAATCATCATCAGCAGCACTGATAACAGCAGCAACTACGATAGCAGCGGCATCTACAACAGCAGCAACATGTCGGTTGCCATCGCTGGCATCTCCGCCGGCATCCCCGCAGCACCTTGAACGTCTCGAGGAGGACGCGTGCCCCCAGGCTGCAGGCTTGCTGCGCCGGCGTCCGAGACACGCCGGCGCCCGTCTCCGCCACCTTGCCGCCGGGTCCCGCCTTGGGCCCAAATGAGTCCATGAGCGTGAAGCCGAGCTGCACCAAGCCCTGCGATATGTGGTCCCAGCCGCTGGCAGCATCGAGACGAGCAGACACACACGGTCACGATGCTCAGCACATCAAGGTTTGTTATTCACCGGCCATGTAACAACCCACCCATCGCAATTAAACAAAACGGAAGCAATTCAGGGGTTATGTTTGGATTGAATAATTGATTGTTTGGGTCTCTTTCATAGTGGTTTTCTCATAACGTCTGTTCTATCTTCTGCATTGTTTAATTTGTTCTTTTGCGTAAAGGTAACACTTGCACGTTATTTCCATAGATTGTAAGAAATCTATTCTCACATTCACAAATTTGAGGCCTGTAATAGGAGCATAAGAAAATATAGGAAAGCCGGTGGTCGAGACTAACAAAGGATTGGCAGCTAAAGGGAGAGAATGTGCAAAAGAGGCCGTCACTATGGACATGGAGTGATGCCATTACCCCGTTTACAGGCCATAGATGTTCTGTTACATTGCAGGACCGTGAGAGAAGAATGCCTGGAGAAACGAAAAGTTTTCTGAAAAAGAGTCTTGAGGCTCAGCAAGGCTTTCCAGGATAAAGAAATGTCCTCGCACAAACTATCGTGCGGCTGTGGAATATAAAACCCTCAGCTCAATGCAAACAGTTTCAGTAGCGTGCGTGCAACTCGATTCAATAACCCTGAAGTTGGATAAGAACTGGTGGATAATCTGGCGCTCTGACCACGCGTTACGACACCTCGCGTGGCGGCGTTGCCGGGCTGCACCTGTTTTGGATGGTCTCGAGGATGACGTCGGACACGCACCACACCTGCGACGACACCAGGTCCTTGATGAGCGCCGAGCTCTGCTGCATCTGCTGGTCCCTGAAGCTCTTCAAGATAGCCACCTTCATCATCTCAAACACCTGGCTCGCACCAGCAGCAACAGCAATGCAACCGTGCATGTTATATGATGCATTTGTAATAATTACCTTCAAAGAAAATGGCAGAGCAAACAAACCTTTATTCCAGTCGTCATGACCCGACCACAGTTCAGGTGAGCGGAATGTAAAGCAGCTTAATGTGTACATTAATGGGAAAATATTTTAAATGCGGAAATGTTTACCATGGCGAATTGGAAGGAACACAGCGTGTGTGCATGTGACGAGTAGCAAGTGATCGTATGGGGCTGTGTTGGTCGGCTAGAGAAGATGTGCAGACCACCTGTTCCTCCAATCGGTGAATCCTCGCCAGCGAGAGTGTGAGTGCGACGTTGAACGGACACAGCACTCGGCCCACATCGCCCAGCTGTCCGACCTGGCAAGCAGGCAATACTTCTATGTCAATTTGTTTGAAAAGCAGATCACGCAGAGCACCTCGTGGTGAATTTAAGAATGCATTGTACTAAGTAATTTTTTACACTTTTGACATATACATACAGTGAGGGAAAAAAGTATTTGATCCCCTGCTGATTTTGTACGTTTGCCCACTGACAAAGAAATGATCAGTCTATAATTTTAATGGTAGGTTTATTTTAACAGTGAGAGACAGAATGACAACAAAAAAATCCAGAAAAACGCATGTTAATAATGTTATAAATTGATTTGCATTTTAATGAGGGAAATAAGTATTTGACCCCTCTGCAAAACATGACTTAGTACTTGGTGGCAAAACCCTTGTTGGCAGTCACAGAGGTCAGACGTTTCTTGTAGTTGGCCACCAGGTTTGCACACATCTCAGGAGGGATTTTGTCCCACTCCTCTTTGCAGATCTCCAAGTCATTAAGGTTTCGAGGCTGACGTTTGGCAACTCGAACCTTCAGCTCCCTCCACAGATTTTCTATGGGATTAAGGTCTGGAGACTGGCTAGGCCACTCCAGGACCTTAATGTGCTTCTTCTTGAGCCACTCCTTTGTTGCCTTGGCCGTGTGTTTTGGGTCATTGTCATGCTGGAATACCCATCCACGACCCATTTTCAATGCCCTGGCTGAGGGAAGGAGGTTCTCACCCAAAATTTGAAGGTACATCGCCCCGTCCATCGTCCCTTTGATGTTGTGAAATTGTCCTGTCCCCTTCGCAGAAAAACACCCCCAAAGCATGTTTCCACCTCCATGTTTGACGGTGGGGATGGTGTTCTTGGGGTCATAGGCAGCATTCCTCCTCCTCCAAACACGGCGAGTTGAGTTGATGCCAAAGAGCTCCATTTTGGTCTCATCTGACCACAACACTTTCACCCAGTTGTCCTCCGAATCATTCAGATGTTCATTGGCAAACTTCAGACGGGCATGCATATGTGCTTTCTTGAGCAGGGGGACCTTGCGGACGCTGCAAGATTTCAGTCCTTCACGGCGTAGTGTGTTACCAATTGTTATCTTGGTGACTATGGTCCCAGCTGCCTTGAGATCACTGACAAGATCCTCCCGTGTAGTTCTGGGCTGATTCCTCACCGTTCTCATTAACATTGCAACTCCACGAGGTGAGATCTTGCATGGAGCCCCAGGCCGAGGGAGATTGACAGTTCTTTTGTGTTTCTTCCATTTGCGAATAATCGCACCAACTGTTGTCACCTTCTCACCAAGCTGCTTGGCAATGGTCTTGTAGCCCATTCCAGCCTTGTGTAGGTCTACAATTTTGTCCCTGACATCCTTGGAGAGCTCTTTGGTCTTGGCCATGGTGGAGAGTTTGGAATCTGATTGATTGATTGCTTCTGTGGACAGGTGTCTTTTATACAGGTAACAAGCTGAGATTAGGATCACTCCCTTTAAGAGTGTGCTCCTAATCTCAGCTCGTTACCTGTATAAAAGACACCTGGGAGCCAGAAATCTTTCTGATTGAGAGGGGGTCAAATACTTATTTCCCTCATTAAAATGCAAATCAATTTATAACATTTTTGACATGCGTTTTTTCTGGATTTTGTTGTTATTCTGTCTCTCACTGTTCAAATAAACTTTACATTAAAATTATAGACTGATCATTTCTTTGTCAGTAAGCAAACGTACAAAATCAGCAGGGGATCAAATACTTTTTTCCCTCACTGTATAATCATACGTGTAATAATGTGTTTCTATTCATACGAAAGCATTACCATGAATCGTGAAAACAATCATAAATACATCATATATCATGGTAGCAAACTTTTAAGATATTATTAATTTACTTTATAACAATTATCACAGCATATCAATTATATATGTTGCGATATACACCTTTTTAACATCTTCACCTGCTTTGTAATTGCGGCCTATATATTTTTTCAAGATTTCTCGTATTGCTTCTCAAAGTAAAAATCAAACCTCCTCCCTACCCAAACAACTGTGCTCATCTCCAGCAGTAGCCAGTGGTGGAATTGACATTCTCATTTATGTGGGCCAGTCTCCATATGGGACAACCATTGTTATCTTTAGTTGGCCTCTTAGCCGATAAAGGAAAACACTATGCAATACCAGATTTCTCTCACACTTGTGGAAACTAATTCTGACGATCTTGATATCACCACAGCTGAAGATGTCGATGCTACCACACCATGACAAACCATGCCAAGCCATACCAGACCACACTGTGGTGATACCTTGAGGGTCTTGATGAACTCTCTGCCCAGGTCCTGGTCCAGCTTGACAGCAAAGACGATGTGGAGGATGATGGTCCCCTCCACGTGACGCAATGGAACCGTCGACATGGCAGCTACCTCCAGCTCCGTGGCACTGTCATAGAGAGAACCAATTTCTTTTGTTTCAACCAGGGGAAGAGTTCAGTAATAAGAGATGAACAATGTCAGCCAGGAGAAGAGAGAAGAGCTTTAGAGACCACAGGTGAGGATCCACATGATTCATGATTTTAATTTAATTTTTTTAACACATCACATATAGAATACCACATGCCCCTTCGCCCAGTAATTCTACCAATGTCAAGTAATAATGTCTCGAGTCTAACAAGAATGCAGTGTCTCTTTCCTTAAACGAATAATGCGCTGTCGTCTTTTCTATATTATTGCTTGTCATTTTGGAGACCCAGATCACTCCTGCACATGAGACTATCCTGGTCTCTTTGAGTTCTCACTTGGTGAAACAAAAAACTCTTGGCCATTCTGAGCCAGTGATTGAAATTTCACATTTATTCTTATGGTAGAGAACCATCTATTTACAGAACCTTTATTTTCAGATCAGATCAATAATAATAATACTATGAACACCTAATCCAAGAAAACCAAATAATTTATATTATCATTGTGGATATTGAGACATAATTTTTTAAACACAATTACAATGTTCCTCTTACTCCTCAGTGCTCTTTTGGTTACTGTGCAACAGGTCCTGCTCCTTGAAGAATGAAACAATCCCCTCCAGCGCCAGCTTCTTATGGCTCTGGACACAATGAGAACAGACACATTAACTTCGTTACCACATTCCACACGCCTCATTCAACGCGTCAGCAACAATGCGGTCTGACAGCCTATGTGTTACATTATTGACAGTCTACCTAATGTGATTGTCCGGCTACTGTTTCATAGAGTGGGTGTACATTTGTGCAAACGTGTGACACTGTTGTAGCTAATACCGTGCCCTGGCTGTGCTATGAACCAGGTGGCCCGAGTTCGATACCCGGCCATGGCCAACAACAATGGCGAGTGATATCACCCCCTGACCCTCTTCGCCATCCTCCACTGACCACTGTGGTTGAGTAAAATCAGACAGACCACAAAACCGACACGAGATGGGGAGGCCCTCATCCAGTAGTTGATTGACAAAGGGCTGTAGATTATTATTACGGGCGCTGTTACTTCGTGCCTTCGCGACACCACTCATGATGCGTTAACGAGTGCGGGATAATTGCCTTGGGAGCAAGGAGGAGCAGCTGGTAAACGAGGGGAGGCAGCTCCTGCAGCTCCAGACTGGGCAGCAGCCGCAATACCTTCTCCATGACAAACTGCAGCTCCTCCTGACTCAGCGGCACGTCCCTGCACGTCACAAGATTCCCACAATCGCTTTTCCCGAAGAAATTGATACATCCCACAGGGAAGGGCTGCACTGTCCGTATGACACTGTTTATACAATATGGACCCATATTTTAAAAAGAAGGTCCTTGCCTATAACATCTGGCAGTTCACCAGCAATGATTAAATCAAGACCGATTCTGCTGATGAAATACATGTCAAAATCGATCCAGAGTTTGCTTGTATTGAATTAATGCTGCTGAAATGATGCACTCCCAGAAGGTCATGGAGCTGATCGGTTTTGAAAGGAATATTACATTTTTATGAGAACCAGATATATAGATACATTTTGTGTTTATCTATTGTTTGAGTAATATGATCACAACGTTATAATAGCAGCACTCCCATCACATACCTAAGTAGATTCCTTAGAGTAAAGATGTGTTATTTTATTGCAAAGTGAGGGTCATGTTTGAATGCAACACTGAGATTATCTGAAGTAACCCAGTATTACCTGAACATAGAAGTCAGATGGATCACACACTGAGAGTCCCACCTGCAGAGCATAAATGCGTAGATAAGAATCAACTCAGGATTCACAAATGAAAACAAATTGCATATCATTGAAGCCATGTCTCACACTAATGGTTGTGTGTCATTAAATAATGGTGCTGGTGATGGAGGTGGTGGTGTTGGTGATTGTGATGGCCATGCTTGCTTGAATGGATATGATGAATTAGTCAGATGATGATGATAAATTTAATGACCATGATGATGTGTAAATGGAAATTATATCTGGCATACCTGCTGGAACACAATGTGTTGATGATCTGTTTTTTGTATTCCATGCCACTAAGCTGTCCTGCACAACACAAGAAAAGGCAGAAATGTAATCATGAAATAAATATTTGATTATTATGCTGATTTACCCAGAAAAGCCTCGCTGAGTCTCAACAATATTTCTGAGGAGGGTTCTGCTAAGTTGTCAATTGGTAAGTTTACATTCATCCGTATGCTACTGTTATTGTTTGTTAGAACTTTAACTTAAGAAGTACAGCACTATTGGTTTCATCTCCATGACATTTTCAGGGAAGTGAAGGCTGGGTCCCTCACTCACCTTCACCGTAAGTGATTTTCTCCCTGGAGCCCAGAGAGCTTAGGATGTTGGGAAGCAGATCAAGGGATCTGCCGTTCATCACGCGGCCGCTCTTAATCGAGTCCACGTACATGGAGGCCAACTTGGCCAGGCAACTTCCAGGCAAGTAATCCGTCTGTCATACACAACGTGCATATATATTACTGAAAGACAAAGATCCCCTGTATAGCCTTTAACAGACTATTGGGGCAAGTACTGTTAGCGAGCAGCACCGATGAAGGTCGGAACGGCCCACGAGGGGGTGGGTAGCCACCACTACAGCAGTCACTCCGTACTGCTCACCCCAAATACAATTTTAATCCTCCCCAGCCACCTTTTCCTCCTCGCATGGCTTATTCCAGGCTCTTCAAGACCCACACTTCCATCGCATTGTCCCATATCTCACAAAACCATTTTTGATTGGCTGCAACTGTATTTTTTGGGCCAGGGGTCGCACTACATCTGTCACCACAGTGCCGCTCTCACCTCCATCATGAGCAGCCCCATCATGTTGACCGCCACATAGTTCTCCATGTCCCCAGACTCGGCCAGCTTTGCGCAGCACGTGTACGTCTTCAGCCGACGCTCAACCCCATCACCGCTGTGGCACGGGGAGCCTGGGTAGAGAGAATGCCTCGTGATTTAGAGGGGACTCCTGGTCAAGGCTGTGACAACCATAACAATGACACCTGCGGTTTCAGCGACTACCATTCTAATAGAGTTCCATGACTGCCCGTCTGGTTCTGGTCACCACCTGTCAATCAGCACAATCAGGGTTCACGATTTGATTCAAATATAGATTGTTCTTCATCTTGCTTGCACTGTCTCAGTTTTACTGACTTGTACTTTGTCTTGTGTACTGTAGTCTCTGACAAGTTACTTTAAGGTATTGTCTATCTCGTTTGTACTGCCTGTCCTGTGTAGTTTGTACAGCATGGCAAATGTTTCCATTAAGTCCGAATTGTCACCATAAGCGTGCCGTTGTCTTCATCACCAACAATGGGGCAACATGTCAAAGCATTTTGTCAAGGTGTGAATTTCAGCACGGTCAATTATCGCTGGAATTCAGTGGGTAATTGTGGAGCACCATGACAGAATTACCTCTTTAAAAAAAAGACATCTCAAGCTGGAAGGGCAGATCATAACACAACGTCGGGAAGAACCCCCTCACTCCAGTCACTGTTTCTATGCTGGCGTGGCTTGCAGCCATAGAAAAAACGAAGGTGTTTGCGATCATGGCGAACTTGGCCGAGTAAATGACGTCCATTCATCTGATATCGAGGAGTTGGAGAGGAGGCTTTGACTCTCACCGAGGAAAATGGCCCTGAGCAGGGCGTTGAGGTCACCTTCGCCCCTGACTGCATGCCGCTTGATTAGTTCCTCCAGCTGCAGGGAGTCCGGGGAAGAGTTGTTCACGTCATATTATTCCAGACATAACAACAACAGTAATATTTACGTATCCAAAGAAGCTTAGCGGAGCCTCAGGAGATGTTTGGTTAATTCTTTTTTTAAACGTATACTTTGTGGGTTAACTTATTGCACTGCCATCTCCTGGTCACCTCACAGCCCAGCTGCTTTGGGAGTCTCCGATACATATCTGCAAGTCATATTACGTATTTTTTTCTCTCTCTGTGGTTCTTTCGGTAAAGTCACGGAGGTATAAAATAGAATAAATCACGACGTTTCAGGCGCAACACAAGCGTCCGTCCTGCTGCTGAGGCCGACTGTTTTAAAAGGTTTGAAATGGGTGTAGCCCAAGGGTCATAAAGAAGTGGCCGGGGCTAGTGATGTTAATGTGAGAAATTAGCATGTGACTGTAAGAACGGAGAGCGGCTTCCTGGACGAGGGCACGGAAGTGGCTATGTTAATGCGAGATATTAGCATGATGTTAATGTGAGAAATTAGAGGGCACGGAAGTGGCTATGTTAATGCGAGAGATTAGCATGATGTTAATGTAATAAATTAGAGTGCACGGAAGTGGCTATGTTAAAGCGAGAGATTAGCATGATGTTAATGTGAGAAATTAGAGTGCACGGAAGTGGCTATGTTAATGTGAGAGATTAGCATGATGTTAATGTGAGAAATTAGAGGGCACGGAAGTGGCTATGTTAATGTGAGGGATTAGCATGATGTTAATGTGAGAAATTAGAGGGCAAGGAAGTGGCTATGTTAATGTGAGAGATTAGCATGATGTTAATGTGAGAAATTAGAGGGCACGGAAGTGGCTATGTTAATGCGAGAGATTAGCATGATGTTACTGTGAGACATTAGAGGGCACGGAAGTGGCTATGTTAATGTGAGGGATTAGCATGATGTTAATGTGAGAAATTAGAGGGCAAGGAAGTGGCTATGTTAATGTGAGAGATTAGCATGATGTTAATGTGAGAAATTAGAGGGCACGGAAGTGGCTATGTTAATGCGAGAGATTAGCATGATGTTACTGTGAGACATTAGAGGGCACGGAAGTGGCTATGTTAATGTGAGGGATTAGCATGATGTTAATGTGAGAAATTAGAGGGCAAGGAAGTGGCTATGTTAATGCGAGAGATTAGCATGATGTTAATGTGAGACATTAGAGGGCACGGAAGTGGCTATGTTAATGTGAGAGATTAGCATGATGTTAATGTGAGAAATTAGAGGGCACGGAAGTGGCTATGTTAATGCGAGAGATTAGCATGATGTTAATATGAGAAATTAGAGGGCACGGAAGTGGCTATGTTAATGTGAGAGATTAGCATGATGTTAATGTGAGAGATTAGAGGGCACGGAAGTGGCTATGTTAATGCGAGAGATTAGCATGATGTTAATGTGAGAAATTAGAGGGCAAGGAAGTGGCTATGTTAATGTGAGAGATTAGCATGATGTTAATGTGAGAAATTAGAGGGCACGGAAGTGGCTATGTTAATGTGAGAGATTAGCATGATGTTACTGTGGGAAATTAGAGGGAACGGAAGTGGCTATGTTAATGTGAGGGATTAGCATGATGTTAATGTGAGAAATTAGAGGGCACGGAAGTGGCTATGTTAATGTGAGAGATTAGCATGATGTTAATGTGAGACATTAGAGGGCACGGAAGTGGCTATGTTAATGTGAGAGATTAGCATGATGTTACTGTGAGAAATTAGAGGGCACGGAAGTGGCTATGTTAATGTGAGAGATTAGCATGATGTTAATGTGAGAAATTAGAGGGCACGGAAGTGGCTATGTTAATGTGAGAGATTAGCATGATGTTAATGTGAGAAATTAGAGGGCACGGAAGTGGCTATGTTAATGTGAGAGATTAGCATGATGTTAATGTGAGAAATTAGAGGGAACGGAAGTGGCTATGTTAAAGTGAGAGATTAGCGTGATGTTAATGTGGGAAACTAGCATGTAACTGTATAAAAGTAGCTTTTTTTCTCTCATTAGATTACGTATGCAATCGTATTTACTCTGTCGATACCAAGGAGAAAGAGACAGGGACACACCTCTCCATTGGGCAGCGCCTCCAGCTCCTTCTGCAGGGAGGCAGAGTCTCCCTGCTCCAACATCAGCAGCATCCTCTTGTCCATGACCCCTGGCGGACAAGAGCTGACGGACAAGTAGCAATGGACAAGGGTTGAGGGACAAGCGGTTACGGACAACAGATGAGGGGCAGCAGCTGACAAGGAGCAATGTCTGAGGGTACAGCACAGCTGTCGTGAATAGTGCTGGTGAACAACCATTCAGCAGCTGCTGTTCGAGCTGTCTTCATCGGTAAACCCGCTGTGTCGTTGAGGCGGCTGGCACGGCTCCGCGATGAGGCTGTTGTTGTTGCTCTCAAGAGTTGCTGCTGTCAACTCCGCAGTCACTTACCCGCGTTGTTGCCCAGTCAGAGCCGCCGCTCCGCTTGTTGGTGGAGTTGCTGTGGTGGGTGGTGGTTGTCGGTCACGTTGCAGCTCCCTCAGCTGCCCGCTGTCGTTAAATCTGCTGTCCCCCACCCCGCCCGGGTCAATGTTGTTGCTGTAGTCAATATTGTAATATTTTATCTGCTTGTGGTTGTTGTTGCTGTTGTGGTGGTAGTTGTTGTTGTTGTTGTGACTCCTCGGCCTCCACTCGAGTTTCGCTTTTCCCGCCTTCTGAGCTTCACGACCCCCCCGTGACGTCACGAGGATCACGTGACCCGGAAGTGGCGACACTCAGAAGCGCCGCCACCGCTGTTGTTGCTGCTGCGAAGTTGTTGTTGTTGCTGCTTCTGCTCTTCTCTCTCTTGCTTGTTGTGGTCCTCGTGATTGTTGTTGTTGCGCCTCCTTCAACGATGCTGAAGCCCAAAGCCCTCACGCAAGTGCTGAGCCAGGCGAACACGTCGGGAGTGCAGAGCACGCTGTGAGTATCGAGGCGCGCGATGTTCCCACCCCGTGGCTCCATTGAGGTTGCCCCTCCAGCCCCTTCCCTCGAGAATGTCCCCTCTCCGCTGGACCCCCTCGTCTCCTCAAGTTGTGTTCCCGGCAGTCTTCTCACTACAGTCTGTCCCCCCCCCCACCGACTGTTCCCCACTGCGTCTCCGTGCCAGTCTCTTCTTGTTCCCAGACCGAGTGTTACTCTCAGCTCTTGCCCCGAACGAACGTTCCCTCCAGGCCCTTGCACACCGCGCCTCTAGTTCCCTACAGGCTCTGGCCTGCTCCCGGTTGCCCCGACAGCGTTGTTGTTGTTTCCCCCTCTTGTCCGCTCCTTACGAAAGTCTATTCCCTCGTTCGGTTCCCGTAGATTCCAGCCGTGGCCTCCCGGCGTCTCCCGAGCCGCGCGCGGCTCTATCGATGTGGCATAACGTAGCACGTTACCACCATCAAAGAATAATGAATGTCGCCCGTGCTGTGCCGACAACTCTCAATATATCTACACAGACATATATACTGTGTGTACACTCGGCTCCGTGCAGAACTCACGGCTCCTGGTCTTGTGGAGGTTGGCCTCCCATGCCATAGACATCGTTCTCTCCAGGCTCACCACAGTCGGCCTTTCTGTGACAATGCGATACGTACATCCAGCACGACTATGACGATTATTATTTGTAATGATACGCGCAATATTTGCTGTGTACCATCCACGCGTGCCGCTGTATCCCGTGTCACCTCCACCCCTGTCCCAGGCTTCTCAATAACGAGGGCTCCCTGCTCGCCTACTCGGGATACGGGGACACGGACGCGCGGGTCACCGCCGCCATCGCCAGCAACATCTGGGCGGCGTACGAGAAGAACGGGCGACAGGTCTTCAACGAGGACAAGCTCAAGTACATCCTCATGGACTGCATGGTGAGCAGCACAGCGCGGGGCTCGCAACACCACGACTGGGACGAGGAGGAGTGGACGGGGGGAGGTGTCAGGCAAAGGGCCAGAGGTGGGGAGAGGTTTATTATTGGGAGGGATAGTGCTGGTGTCAGGTTCGTCCGGTGTGTTAGGATCAGACATAGGGGATAGGGTCTGGTTGGCTGCTTCAATAGGACTTGAGTCTGGTTGTCTTAATTGTTAGGGCTATGTTCCGGTTAACAAGTATTTCTTTAGAATCGGACGTAGCGATAGTCTCGTTATCCTGTTAGTATCGGGAGTAGTCCGTGGTAAGGCTATGGTTTTGATTAGTTTGTTAGCTCTACAGTCTGGTTGGCTAGTTATTAATGAACGAGTGATTTGCGGGTGTCTTGTTGTGACAGGAGGGGAAGGTGGCCATCGCGAGGGTGGCAAATCTGCTGCTGTGCATCTACGCCAAGGAGACGGTCGGCTTCGGAATCCTCAAAGCCAAGGTGCTGCCCGCCATGGTTGTGCACTCGTTTGCCCGGAGATTCGGGGCGTCGCTTGTCTCGTTTTTTCTAGAAACATTTCAAGTTACATTTATTGACGGGTATCATGTCGCAAGATGAAATAATGACCCTTTGAAATTCACGCAGAAGGCAGTATAACATTACCCCATGTTAGACAACAACCTCCGGAAAGAGATGTCACAGGATGGCTTTTGAGGTCGCTTAAATTGCTTTGATCCATTTTGGAAACAATTTCTGCCACTGGCTCAGGGCTATCAACGGCGATGAGCAGACACTTTTAACTGCTGGTGCGTCCGTGTGCACGGGACCCTGACCCCTCGATGCGTTCCTCTGTCCCCACTCCCTGACAGGCCCAGGCCCTAGTGGAGTACCTGGAAGAGCCGCTCATGCAGGTGGCCGCATCGTAAATCTTGACCGCACGCCCCCGGCGACCCCCCTCGCCGGGGTCGGGTGGGGTCGAGGGTATGGGGGCCGCGCCAGCCCCATCTCTGCTTCATCACCAATCCTAGAAGCTGCTCCAGGTCATAGCACCTGGACTTGGAGCCTGTGGAATTCCGTGTTTGTACAAGATAGGCATGCAACGCGGATTCGCCCCTCGCTTAGTGGTTCGACGCACACGTCACGAATCGGTTTGATGCACATGTCACGAATCGGGGTAATGATTACATTTACAAGTAATTTCTTTTTCATGTTTTTACTTTTTTCATTTGCGTTTTTCAATTTCTCTAACTTGTTTGTACAGTTTTTTCTGCTCCTTTAGTCTAAATGTAAAATAACCATATAAATAGTCCAGAGCATAAATAGCTCAGAGCATGTCATGCACACACGATTCAACAACTGCACTGCGAGTGTCGGATTCCTTTATAATCAAGCGATGCACTCGTTACTACGTTTCCAAAAAAAAAACAATGGTGATGTCACTTGGCCGATTTCTGACAAGTCTTGCAGTGGTGTAGATACAGTCCGAGACAAAAGATACATTGGCTCACGTAAAAATCGTTAAACATTAATTTGAACTCAATTATTACGTGATGCTACTGCTTAGGCAGTGGTGCGCAAAAGACAACAACGAAAAACCTTGGCACATTAGTCAATAACACCCTGACCTTAAAGGAAAAATAAATATCATTGGCGATGTTACGGCCAATGGCCCTGCTTCGTTGAACATATTTAAGCCCACGGTGTTATTTACGTATGTGTTGAGTTTTCTAGGTGTTTCGAACCCAGGTGAGCATGCCACTGAAACACAATCTCGTTTACAAAGGAGACCTGCAGAACAAACAGAAGCATTAACATGTCGAGTGCAATATATTCAGTGCTGAAAACGTAGCGGGCTTTTGTTGTGCTGCTCTGTAGAAAGCCAATTGTGTGGTTATGGGAAATTGTTGCGAGCGAGCGGTTATGATGATGGTGGCGAGTCGTTTTCGGTCTGTACTTTATTACGGAGGCAGATCGACGTGTTCCGTATTCATGTTCACATTGTGAGCAATGTATAGTGTTTTGCCTTTCATTATTATGCTGCGTTTGTTGAATAAATTAAAATCAGTCATCTCTGGCTTACGCCTTTGTTGCCAAACGATTTAGAATCTTTCTCAGACATTGTTGATACATATTCTACCGTGTTACTCGGTACACGTCGACACTCCGGGATGCGATTGTCGTCACAGCTGAGATGAGGAGGGGATTGACAGAGCGAGGGGGGCAGCTTTATGGGGGGCACTGGGCGGAGTCATTGGGAGTAGAGAAGGGGGGGGGGGGAGATTTGGGACGGAGCGCGCAGACTGAGAGACTCACAGTGGGAGGGAGACGAGAGAAGAAGCTGGCTACGGAGGAGTCGGTAAAGAGAAGACGAACTGGGATTTTAAAACAGATTTACCATCCCTTCGCCGCCTCTCTGTGTGTACGTCCACTCTGAGCTCGAAGAAATCGGTGAAGCCAGAAACATCGCAGAATCTGTGACGAGCAAACGCTGCAAGGGAGAGGAGCGAAGAAGGGAAGGAATACATCTGGGCTCGAATAAACACGACCAGAGAGAGGGTGGTTGCGTTTGAGTGAGCAAGACATTTGTGGGTGGAGATGAGACCCTGAGCTTGGAATAATTGAAGCGAAGTGGTCAACGCTGCACTGGGGAGGGGAGGCTGCTCTCGCTGCTCGGGGCTGAACAATGACGGCGACGACGATGATGATGAGGCTACGCAGCGGCAGTAGCAGCAGCCTCGCCCTGGTGCCGTGCACCGTGAGGCTCCCGGACGGCTCCGAGATCACCTGCCAGGTGCAGGTGAGGCGAGGCCACGCCTGCATGCGCGCATGTGCGTGAGTGTCTGTGGGCAACAAGACACAACGTCGGTTTGTGGTGTCTAAATGTGGCTGTTCAGAATACGGGGGCATGTTGACTGATAGAAGCGGTCAATCCGAGGCAGAGGGAAAACATGAAGGTCTTGAGTGTGGACTTGAACAAGGGTATGTCGTCGGCACGGATGGCAGGGAGAGGAGAATGAGTGAAGGATGGCTGGGGGCTTCGATAGAAAGCCGTGGTTGCTGGAGTGGAGAGTGTGGTGGGGAGGAGAGTGAGGTGAGAGGGTAGAGGTAGGCAGGGATGAGTCGCTGTATGATAAAATTATCATTCCTAGTATGTGTATCCCTTTGTTAACGTGGGTGCGTGTGTATGTACTGTGCATTTGCATCTATACGCACGTTTATATGTACCGTCAGCTGCAAGTGATATATCAACCAGGTACTGTTTCACCCCGAGGTAGACTCAGCCTTAAAATGAGTATCTCTGGGGAGCCAAAGGCGGCCGGGCATGGTGCTGACTAACCACCCTGTCGCACGCCATGCTCGCTATCAGCACTTACAAGGATGCACTCGTTACACACGAAGCGCTTGCCACGTGAACCACAATACCTCGCTCATCTCTTGAAGGAGTAAAAACCATCACGCAAACTCCGGCGGTCATCCTCGCAGTAGCGGCTTTTGGCTCAGCCATCGAACAAAGAGGGTCACTGCATCGCGCGCTTTCAAGATGCGCTTCTGTGGGTGCCACTGGAAAGCTTTGCCATTGGGAGCTATGCACTTTTCAATCGTCGAGATTGAAAACTCATTTGATTAGAACTGCTCTTTGTCTTTAGTTTGCTGTCCTTTCCCCGCACCTCCGATTAGCACGGTTGGCTATGCACGGTGCGAAATAAGTTCAAAATGCATATACACCCTTGCCCAAATAGCAACGTGTACCTTGTACGGGGGACCTTTATCTTTGTGCAATGCG